TATTTGCTGCAGCTGTAGTTGCCAAAGGCTTCAAATTTCTCTAGTATTGTCTTTGTCTCCCCTCTTGTATTTTGGCTTTCCTAAGTCCTACTTTCTAGAGAGAATCTGCAAAACATAGTTCTTTCATCTATTATTTACTGTTATACTGGAGCGTGTTGGTGTGGTGGTAAGGTGGGAGATAGGAGAAGCATTCTATAATCTTAAAATTACACCTCACTCTTTTAGAGGGACTCTGACCCTGAGCTGTTGTGACCTTTTAAGTATTTCTTAGTCTGCTTTTCTTAGGTGAGCCAGGAAAGCTAGTGGAGTCTGGAGAAGGAGAAATGCCTGTTACTCAGGTTGTACAAGGTTCTGGTAAAGTCTTTTCTCCTAGAGAGTGAGGATTTTTTATGAAGCAGGTCCTGGATATGCTTCTCTAGGATTACTCCTCCTCTTTCATTGACAGGGCCATGCGGATGGATTCATTGGCTCTTTATCATGAGAATGTGGTAAGGCTTTTGGAGGTAAAATGAAAGAAGTGTGGGGAATCCTTAAGACTCTGGTCCCCGGGAGGTTCTCATGTTCATGCCAGCCCACACTCAGCCTCCAGCAATATCTCAAAATTACGATTTAAGTGTTTCTGCTAGGTTATGGATTCAGCAGCTTTGGCTCCAGGAAAGCAGACTTCAGCTGTGACTCTCTGGATTTACCTGTCTCTTCAAATTTTGGAATGGGTCCAGGAAATGTCATGTTCATATTGTCCATTGAAATTGTTGTAAACCAGGAGTGATGACTTCTAAGCTCCTTACATGTTGGGGCTGAAACTGAAAGTCCATACATTCTTAATACTCACCCTCTATGGCTTCACCTTCTCCAATTTCTAGAAAATTTTCTAAGCCAAAAAAAAAAGTCTCAGTGGAAAATGAAGAAACCAATGTTCATATTGGGAAGTGACTATTCAAAGTTAAGTTTAGAGAAAAGACTCAGGTTTCAAATTCTATCCTCAATCCATTTTGAGAAAAAAAAAAAAAAAGGAAGATGATCCTGTATTTCCCTCTTTCATATTTGGTATGTAAAGCCTGATTTTGAAGTTCAGGGAAAATAGTAATGCTTCATAAAACATTATTATAGAGACATAACATACTTTCTTGATTATGGTTCATGTAGGAAGGCCAATGTATTATTCTATCTCGCAGTATGACATAAGGAAGTCAGTTCATATGACAGCCAATTTGAAGATGACTACATCCAGAAGGTTAATTACAAGGAATGTATTGTTATTTGGATATTAATATAGAATATTTAATCTGGAAAAAGAAGCATAAAGATCTATCTTCCACTTATTTTAACAATAAGAAATATACCTATGAAACCAGAAGACAATAAATATCAGCTAATATATTGACCTGTAATTAATTGGCTCAATTATATTATAATTATAATGTAATTTTCTGGAGCAACATGGGCTATGAGAAAACTTGGAAATAAATCCAAAACCAGGAATTTACACTCTGTATGATCTTGTCTAAATTAGAAACTACATTATTACTACCTTGCCAGATATTAAAATAATTAAAATAATTAAATAAGTAAGCTAATTTTTCCAATCTAACCATCTCACACTGTACACAACTATAGAAAATCAACTTTGTGCCCCACATGTATGCATAATAAACTATCTTTAAAAAAAATAATGAAATCTGATACATAGCTAGCAATACAAAATTATCACATTTATATTAATGTATAAATATCAGCAGGTTCTATTTAGGCATGGGATGTTTGATAAAGAATTTCTCTTAAATTTCAGCTCTTATAATTTGGACCTATAGAGAGATAAGAAGTGAACACTTGTTTCTATCCAGCCTCAAGAAATCCAACCTAAAATGCAACCCCAAAGGAAAAAAATGTGGAATTTGTCATCGTTACCACCCCAAACACCCCTGTCCCTAACTTCCACAACCACCAGATCAAAATTTAATTTACTTCAATACAAATCAATAAACATTTCCAGTGAGCCTAATCATGTACTGTCACAAAAGCAGACTTCAAAGAGCTTAAGTCTACAAAAAAGTTCATAAATACAAATAAAACAATAAAAAATGAAGCATGATACTGATGTAGGGATAGATAGTCAATAGAACAGAAAAAAAGTCTAGAAATAGACCCACCCATATAAAAATACTAGATTTATGAAAAAAAGGAGACACTAAACTGTAATGAAATAGGAAAAGGTGAGTCTTTTTACTAGAAGGTGCTGGTTCAACAGGAATTTTGGCTCCTACCTCACACCACACACCACACACACACACACACACACACACACACACACACACACACACACACACCAGTTTTACATTGCTGATATATTTAAATGTTGAAGATAAAACAAAAGTTCCTAAAGTTAACATCTTCATTAATTTGGGGTAAACAAAAATTTCTTAAAATGGACTTAAAAATGCTAATCATAAATAAAAGATTGTTAAATTAGACCAACTTAAAATAAGGAACTCTTTTTTTGGGGGGGGGGCAGTTGGCCAGTATAGGGATTTGAACCCTGTGACCTCAGTGTTACCAGCACCATACTCTCCCAAATGAACCACTGGAATTTCTGGTAATCTAAATATACCATTAAGAGAGTGAAAAGGTAGACAATGGTGTGAAAGGTGATATCCAAAACAAATATAACCAACAAATAATTAATGTCTATAAATAAAAGATTGTTAAATTAGACCAACTTAAAATAAGGAACTCTTTTTTTGGGGGGGGGGGGCAGTTGGCCAGTATAGGGATTTGAACCCTGTGACCTCAGTGTTACCAGCACCATACTCTCCCAAATGAACCACAGGAATTTCTGGTAATCTAAATGTACCATTAAGAGAGTGAAAAGGTAGACAATGGTGTGAAAGGTGATATCCAAAACAAATATAACCAACAAATAATTAATGTCTGCACCACATAAAGAACTCTCTAAGTCCTAAATACATACAAATCGATTAAAAATATGGAGAAAGTATATGAACGGGTACTTTACAACAAAGCATATTCAAATGGCCAAAAAACATTAAAAATGTGTTCAATCCAACGAATCATCAGGCCAATTCAAAAGAAAATCAACTAAATGCTCGCTAGAATGACTAAGCTAAACTAACTGGCAACTGCAAGTATAGGTGAGGCTGTAAAATGATCAGAATTCTAATAGCCTGATAGTAGGAGTCAATACTGGTATTGACTAGTATTAGCCAGTCATAACTTTGTTATGTTGTAGAATAAGGCTGAAGATGAAAAAAAAAATCACAAACATAGTATTTAGTAAAAGAAACCATATAGAAATGAGTAGATACTATCTAATTTCATTAAAAATTTTAAGAACAGGCAAAACTAATACATGGCTTACAAGTCAGAACAATGGCTACATCTGTGGAGTAATGGTTTGTTTACAAATTAGCCTATGTTATACTCCCACGGAAGTCTCATTTTAAAGTGATGTTAAAAATAAACGGTTGAACAAGATCAACAATAAATGTATGTCTGAGATAAAAGGCAGGCTGAATCAAGGTGTGATTTATTTATCAGGATAAGGGTCAAGGAGAGAGTATGGGAAAGGCTTTAAAAAATAAGGAGTGCAGATGTCACAAACTTAAATTGTCCAGGACAGCCAGGCAGGTGAGGCAAAAGACCAACCTAGAATGGATTTAAAAATAGCAGCATGAACAGGATGATAAGAGGAATGGGAATTCTGCTTCAGTGTCAGGAAGTCTGTAGGGCAAGATGCAGACTGAGAAACTGGAGGCATATGCCTCGTCCAAAGGAAATAGCTACCTGTTAGCTCCTAGCAATTATCGTCTTTGTTGCATGCCAGCACAGTTTCTGGATTTTCCGTTTCCTCAAAAAGGTGAACAACCATGTCTTTACAGTTCAGTTTTACTTGAATTTATAAACTATATCCCCCCCCCACAGTTTAAGTTGAATGAGGGAAAATGTATCTATAATTGAGATATGTCTTGGAGTATATAACTTCTGGTAAACTGTTAGAGTTCAGGTCTGTCTTGTTCATTTCAATATCTCTTGTGCCTAGCACAGGCTTGGCACATTGTAGACAAGCAATAAATTTTTTGCTGAATAATTCAACAAGGTAATAAATTAACTTAGACCATGTTTTTAAAAATGAGTATGAGTTTTCATGGCAGACAGACCAGAAGTGCCTTCTTGTCTGTGATGATGACATATGCAAAAGGGTGAATGATTGTATAAAGCATGTATTTGAGGACCCACGTGTAAATCGGGATTGCAGGAGCTTAGCATTTGCAGTATCGAGAATAAGGGAATTAAGCCAGAGGGATAGGAGAGAGAAAGACAAAGAAGGACACCCAATATTATGCTAAGGGGTTTGGATTTTTATCTTATGGGAATAAATCATAAGAAGCCATCAAAGGCTTAAGCAGAAGCTTATGGTTAGGTTTGCAATTAGGAAGAACATTCTGGTGAAAGTGTGTTCACTGGGGAGAGATAAGACAGATCAAATCATTCTTAATCTTGCCTTTTCAAGATAGCTTTCACCAAGGAATTTTTGGGTCTCTCAAGTACATAGCAAGTTTAAAAAGCAGCTTGAGGAATAAACCATCAAGCTATTCCCCTACTGCGAGGTAAGAACATATGGTTGAGTGTCACCTGTTCTATTCACTCATCTTGCAAACAGTTGAAGCACGTCATTTCTGTGTTGAAATGGAGTGATGAAAGACAAACCCATGAACCAGACTTTTAGTTCTGACTTAATCTCATTTATTATATTGCAAATCAGATACATTCTTCCCACATCCAAGCAGCATTAAACAGCATCATAAACTGCTTTAAGTCAAGGAAAGATAAAAACAAGATAAATATGTGAAAGAAGCAGCTTGCATTATATCAGGTGCAGTAAATACAAGGAAAAGAAGTCACTACTAGGAAAGAAGCAAAAGTCCATGGAGTTTGAATTTTTGTACTGGATCCTCAGGATGATTTTTACTGGAACAAGGAAGCTACTGGCATCCCAGTGCAGGGCAAGGTGGACAACAAGTGCTGAACGCATGGATCAGAGGTCGGCAACCACCGTAGAGAAGCTGCAGAGGTCTGGGGCTGCTGGGCACAACCTGAAGTGTTTGAGGACCATAGGCCAAGCAACCCGAAGGTTGGCATCCATAAGTGAGGAGGCTCAGGGGTCGGCAGCTGTTGTACAAATAGGTTAGAGGCCGATAGTCACAGGGCACAGAGCCTAGGAGCTGGCAACTATTGAGCAGGGGGCTCAGGGGACGACAGCTGCCGGACATATATCTCAGAGGTCTATAGGATATTGGGAGGCAGGAGCTAGAGATGAAGGAAGAAGCAGGAAGAAAACTGGTTCCTTGGCAGGGTCTGGGCACATAGTAGGCGGTAGAAGAGTAGCAAGAGGTTTCAGCGTTGCTGGGCTCACAGGCGGCTGGCTGGCAGCTGGGTGGCTCACTGCAGGTCTCTGGGCAGTTGTCTGTGAGCCAGGTACAGTCTTGAGAGCTGCTGGGTAAGCAGAGGACATCTCCACGGCTCACATTGGTAGAGCAGAGGGAGATGGAGGGGATGAGGGGAATATGGCAGGAATTTCTGAGGAATCCTGAGCTGTAGTTTCCAGAGCAGTAGTTGTGGCAAGACATAGTGAAGTTTTGAGAGCAGGCTGTGGTTGAGAGAGAGAACTGAGTGCCTCAAGTTTCATTCTGCCCCTCATTTGTCTTGACCCTTTATATATCCCCAGAAGGTGGTGGTTCTGTATACAGACTCTTCCTCCTTGTTGTATGAGGCTGCATCAGACCTGTTCATTATAGCCTAGGAAGTAGTTCTCCCACCTCCTATAAAACTGGATGTTCCTTACAATGCCTCCCATTGGTTAAATATATTTATAAACCACCGTGACTGAATTTTAATAGAATCTCTTCTTAAATTATCCAACCAAAACAGACACTTTTGAAAGCGATGCCCTGGTTCTAATTATAACACCACTGCACAAACATTCTTAAAATTCTTCTCTTGGAATTGTCTCTAAAAGTTGTTGCTAACTTCTTTGAAACAGTGTCAAATTATCTCTATTTGAAAGAAACTTCTATTCTTTTTTGAAATTGTCAAAAGTAAGTAACTTGGAGTACCAGCATGTGGAGCTCAAGACCACAGGGAGCAGCAGACTTATGTAATCTCGGTGGCCAAGCATGCTCAGTAAAAAGGAGTTTACCGAGGGAATTTTTAGGGCTTCCAGGCAAGATGGCGGAATAGACGGTCCCCAGCGTCACTGTCTCCCACAAATCAATGAATTTACAACTATAAAAATGTAACATCAGCCAAGCTGGGGCCACTGCAGCTCAGGGGAAGAGGAGGAGAGACCTATGGAACTCATGAAGGCAGGAGAAACCACAATGAGAGAAAGAAAAAACTGCTCTCAGCGTTTTGGGCTGCAGTCACTTTAATGCTGGAGTGCCTGGAGCAGGAGCTGGAAGAAGCCATGGCTGTGCCCTTTAGATGGAATCACTTGGAGGTGGAAGGGGAGAAGAGGACTTTGGTGGCCCCCAGTACAGCAAGACTACTAATAGGGTTCCTGTGGACCCAGGCAGGAGTGAGGAGCCAGAACAGCTGCAAAAGGGGAGCCATTCAGAAGCTGGTGAGTCATCACAAGGGACTGGCGCAGGGACTGTCCCATGAGAAGTGTTTGGAGCATGGGTGATGGGGGAGACAGGCACACTGGGAGAACACTGGGACACAGCAAGGACAGCCTATCTGCCCCCCAATCAGTGCAGGACCACTCAGCGGAGACTGGTCAGAGATGCAGAATTGCATGGGTTGCAATTTGATGAAAAGACTCAGGCCCATATCAGAGTTTCTACACAACCCAGGTGCACCGAGCACCTGGAGAGCCAGAAGTACCTATAAGGTCAATCATTAAACCCTGAGCTGCACAAAAAGCCTTCCCTAGGGAAACAGTAGCAAAGCAGCAATTTACTCAACCACACAGTTCAAGTTCTGGTTCCACAGCTGGGACCAGACCCCACTCCCACATCCAGGCACACCACCAATGCCTCGGGCCCCACCCCCGGGACCTGTAGCTGGCAGCTGGGGACCGGACCCCTTCCCAGACCCAGGCACACTGTGACAGCACCTCAGGGCCCCAAGACATGGAGAAGGGGACCAGATCCCCCTCCTACAACCAGGCATACTGCACCAGTGCTCTGGGGCCTGCCCAGGGACATAGGGCTTGGAGAAGGGGACTGGACCCCCGTTCCACATCCAGGCACCTCTTACCAGCACTTCAGGGCCTGCCCAGGGACCCAGGGTGTGGATCCAGGGATTAGACACTCTCCTCAACCAGGCACACTGTGAGCACCAAGGAGCAGGCCAAAATCATCTCCTCCATGTGGGTGGCCCACCACAGCCAGCACAATATCCATGGCTGCTGTGAAGGGGGCTAGATGCCACAACCACTATGCAGATGGTCCGCCAGCCACTGGCGTGAGCTGACCCA